GTGTCCACTCCTAGGTGGGTATAAGGTCTTCCCCGAGGGGGAATCTGGTTCTATCTCGGCGCAAGAGATAGAACCGAGTCTAAAATGGGGTTGTGTGGTCTTGGGATGCGCCTGAGACCCGGGACTTTTTAATCCTAAAAGATTAAGTATTCGTTTGGAGAACTCAACTGTGTAACCTAAGTTAGGTATCTAATGTTTTTTTTTTTTTTTTTATTAACTGGGAGAAACATACATCAAGAGTTATCATTTCTTAGAGGCTAAATCAAACTTAGAGACCCGTAGTAACGAAGCCTGGTAGTTATGTTGATAGACAGAACATGTCATATCTAGGGCTAAAGTGAGAAATACGTCTCATCGGGATCAAAGTACATAGTGTTAGCTGGAGCATACTTGCCCTCCCCTCTGGTAGGTGGGGTAGGATAATGTCCGTTGCCTGGCGTTGGAGTCTATGGAGAGAAGGACGTCAGTCCCTTATATCATGCGATGCTCCGGTGTCACCTCCACGTTCCGCCACCCTCAGGATCAGAGGGTTCTCAGTAGCAGATGTCTTCAGGAGGGCCTTTGTGTAATTAGTAAAAGTGAGGGGATATAGAGGTCCTCCAGATACTTCATCCGACTGTGGATGTTGTCTGTGTAACCTATCGTTGTGTCCATGTGTACGGGTGCTCAGCCTTGAAAGAGCATCTTAGTCGCCAGTGGCCGTTCGCTTGCAGGCAGGGGTGTTAGGTTGTCTCCCCCGTCTTGCTTGTGGGGAGGTGAATCCGGGATCATTTCTGCTCATTTTCGCAGGGGTACTCCAATTCTGTCGTTGGGTCATTTGCGTGTTGTCTTGGTGGGGTATCGGGTAGTTCCAATCCATTATCGTCGTGTCTGGAAGCTCCAGGGCCCGGAGGAAGGGCCTGAAATGACTGACCTGTCCTGACTCCACCTGACCATGATCTCACTGACTGGGATGGTCTGTCCATGATCTGATCCTGAAAACCTTAACGCCTGATCTGTCTGTCCGTGAACTTTTGTGTCGATTTAGCCCGCGTTTTCGTTTTGTGTTAGTGGGTTTTAGTTTTTATCGCCTGAAATGCCTGACGCCCGCGTTTAACGCCCGCCTGCCGCCTTTCGCCGCAAGCGCGACGCCTGCCTGCCTGAAATTTCGCCTTTCTCTCCCTCCTCTCCCTCCCCTTCCCTCTCTATGTCTCTCCCTCCTCTCTCCCTCCCCCTTCCCCTGTGTCTCTCCCTCCTCTCCTCCCTTCCCTGTGTCTCTCCCTCCTCTCTCCCTCCCCCTTTCCCCCCAGGTTCTCCCTCCCTCCTCTCCCTCCCTTCCCGTGTGTGTCCTCCCTCCCTCTCTCCCTTCCCCCTTTCCCTGTGTCTCTCCCCTCTCTCCCTCCCCCCTTTCCCTGTGTCTCTCCCCTACAGAGACAGGCTCCTCCTCCATCAGCCATCAGCAGCCCCAGCAGTGACAGGAGCAGGGCTGGACAGGGGAAGCTGCCACCCTGCCCAGCGGCTCCAGCCAGGAACGCTGCCGGCCCCCAGGTGCCGCGGCCCACCGGGAAATTTCCTGGTATCCCGGTGGGCCAGTCCGGCCCTGCATACGCCTGCCCATACCATAACTCCACCGCCACCATAGACCACTCAATCCACAATGTTGACATCAGCAAACTGCTCACCCACACGACGCCATACACACTGTCTGCCATCTGCCCTGTACAGTGAAAACCTTGATTCATCCGTGAAGACAACACTTCTCCAAAGTGCCAGACGCTATCGAATGTGAGAATTTGCCCGAGCATGCAGATAAGCTTCCCTGAGATGGCTTCTGACATTGCAGAAATTCTTTGGTTATGCAAACCGATTGTTGCAGCAGCTGTCTGGGTGACTGGTCTCAGACGATCTTGGAGGTGAAGATACTGGATGTGGAGGTCCTGGGCTGGTGTGGTTACACATGGTCTGCGGTTGTGAGGCCGGTTGGATGTGCTACCAAATTCTCTGCAATGCCTCTGGAGACTGCTTATGGTAGAGAAATGAACATTCAATTCACGGGCAACAGCTCTGGTAGACATTCCTGCAGTCAGCATGCAAATTGCACGGTCCCTCAAAACTTGCGACATCTGTGGCATTATTCTGTGTGATAAAACTGCACAATTTAGAGTGGTCTTTTATTGTGGCCAGCCTAAAGCACACCTGTGCAATAATTATGCTGTCTAATCAGCACCTTGATATGCCACACCTGTGAGGTAGATGCATTATCTCGGCAAAGGAGAAGTGCTCACTAACACAGATTTAGACAGATTTGTTAACAATATTTGATAGAAATAGGCCATTTGAGTACATAGATAAGGTCTTAGATCTTTGAGTTCAGCTCATGAAAAATGGAGGCAAAAACAAAAGTGTTGCGTTTATATTTTTGTTAATTGTATGTGCAGCTTGGATACCCATTCACTACTCTGTTTTAAGAGTTAATCTCTACTGAATGCTTGTTTAAGCAAATAACTACTTTTTACATTTGTAATTATAGCAAGCACATTAAAATTCCACCAAATATCTGTAGGACAGCGTCTAAAAAAAATGTCCAAGGGATAAGCCAAGGGTCCGTTGTACTTTGCTGCAGGATTTCTGTATAGGTATGCTTAAAATCACCTTCATATGGGCACTATGCCGCTTGCAGTGAGATGGCTATAGGGTGCAGACAAAAGTTAGCCATCGTCTTCCTGCTGGTCCACTTCAGTTCCTGGCTCTGCATTTGTCAGGAGCCAAACTCAGTGATGTACTCTTGCGCATGCACAAGAGTAAAACACTGATGTCTATGGAAGATTCCCCAAGATCCTCCACAGACCAAGCCTTTTATCCCTCACCTGCCAATAGTGATGACTGGAGTTTTTTTTGTCAAGCATAGCAAAAATAAATACGACAAAGTTTATCACTTTGTCTTATGACATCTTTGGACTGCATTGGAATTTCAGTAAAAATTCCAACACACTTTTAATGAGCATTTAATATTTATGAAATGCTATTTCTTTTCCATGGGGGGGGGGAGAGGGGAGTGACAAGTCAAGTTGTTATTACAGCTCAGTTGGAGAATCTTTTTTATCTGGCAATACTGTATGGTATGCTCAAGTATTATTGGTTACAGAAAAACTTAGATAGCCGTTAGCAGTTGTTGTAGGTGTGGTTTGATTGTTGAAAGAAATGTCAGAAGGGTGGGTTAGCATACCGAACAGGTACATAGTGGTGTGTTACATAGTAGTAATAATGAAATCACCCCCCCTTGGCTACCAAGCTACCTATTAGCTGAGAATGTATTTGAAACACAGGATGCAGAGCTAGCACATAAATGTATGAGAAAACAGCAATTGTGCTCTGAAATAATACGTGTGACAAGGATAGATAAAGCAGACATATTTTATGTGCGCTTTTCAAAAAAATCTTTCATTATCCCAATTATTATTATTTTTGGCAGATTTTTCACTCCACTGCCCATATACAAAGAAAATAACTATTTATAATATATCATATCATATACCCTCAATGAAAACATGCATGCATTAATTATGCATTTACTTATTGCGCCCATATCCAGGGCCGGATATGCCACAAGGCCACGGCCTCGAGGCAGCAAGCATTACAGGGACGTAAGGGCCGGTGGGGTGATCAAAGATCTCCATCACTGGCCAGTCCATTCTCCTGCTGTGTGGCTGGCACAAATAGAGAGGCCATACTTGGTCTCCATCGGCTCTGCAGTATAAGTGTTGCCATGGATTACCACGGCAATGCTCTGATACATCCCCTGGCGCCGGCCGGAAGGAGCTGTCTGCACACACTGGGGGTGCAGACACGCTGAATTTCTGACCGGGCCACCCTTTCCTGGCCCAAGTTATGCTTAAAGGAGGGGGCGTAACAATTTTACAATAATGGACAAAAACAGCTCATATACTCCCACTATAGCCTCTGTCACCCCACTGCAGCACCTACCCCCCACTACAGACCATATATTCCACTATAGCCTCTATCCCCCCACTATAGCCCCTATCCCTTACTGTAGCCACTATCCCCCCAATATAGCCTCTAACCCCCTACAAATCTTACCCCCCACCACAGCCCTACTATTTCTATTGCCCTATTTAATGTTTGCCATTAGAGAAGTACCCCAAGCTTCTACGGGTTTCTCACCTTTTTAATTATTATATGGCAGACACCCCAGGGGATTACTTGACACAGCAAAGGAAACTTGGGAACAAGAAGCTAACCTCCATCGCAATGTGATAGAACACATAACTCAGATGCAGGAACGTATTGAAGCCATTATGCCAATAGTCAGAGAACACATGCAAAAGGCTCAACAAAATCAGCAGAATAGCTATAATAAGAATGCTAGAATTCGAGTATTTCAACCAGGAGACAGAGTATTAGTCCTGGTTCCCACAGTAGAGAACAAATTCCTGGCAACTTGGCATGGGCCATATGAGATTGAAAGAGTGGGAGAGGTAAATTATAAAGTAAGGCAACCAGGCAGACGAAAGGAAGTGCAGTTATACCATGTCAATTTGCTAAAACCATGGAAAGAAAGGGAAGTTCTTGTTACTACAGAGACTTCAACCTTCCCTGATAAGTGTAATATTGACCCCGAAGTAAATATCTCAGAGACCCTGTCAATACACCAGACAAGGGAAGTTAAGGAGTTTATTAGATTAAATAAAGAGGTATTCTCCCCAGTCCCAGGAAGGACTAGTGTGATTAAACATGACATTTTGACAGAACCAGGAAAAAGGGTCAATCTCAAACCATACAGAATACCCGAGGCTCGCAGAGAAGCTATCAGAGCAGAGGTTAAGAAAATGTTAGATCTTGGAATCATTGAGGAGTCACAAAGTGACTGGAGCAGTCCAATTGTGCTGGTATCAAAACCTGATAATACAGTATGGTTTTGTAATGATTATCGTAAACTGAATGCTATTTCTAAGTTTGATGCATACCTAGAGTTGATGAGCTAGTGGAACGACTTGGAAGAGCTCGGTACCTCACTAGACGAGATTTAACCAAATGTTATTGGCAAATACCACTCACAGAACGAGCAAAATAAAATACAGCATTTTCTACTCCTGATGGCCTATTTCAGTATAGAGTTTTGCCTTTTGGCTTGCATGGTGCCCCTGCCACATTCCAAAGAATGATGGACAGAATACTAAAGCCGCATGTGCGCTATGCAGCTGCATACTTGGATGATGTTGTGGTACACAGTGAGGATTGGGAATCTCATCTTCCAAAAGTACAGGCTGTCCTTAACTCAATACAAAATGCTGGCCTAACCGCTAACCCCAGTAGGTGTACGATTGGCCAAGAGGAAGCAAAATATTTGGCCTACTCTATTGGTAGGGGACTAGTGAAACCCCAAGTTGCTAAAATGGAAGCCATACGAAATTGTCCAAGACCACTGACTAAGAAACAGGTGAGAACATTTATTGGCCTCATTGGATATTACAGGAGATTTATATCCAATTTTGCTACAATTGGAAGCCCATTAACTGACCTTACTAAAGCTAATGCTCCAGTAGTGGTAAAATGGTCCCCAGAGACTGAACGAACATTCAGAAAGCTTAAAGAAGCCATTTGTGCCCAACACCTTGGTAACACCTGATTTTTCTAAAGAATTTATTTTACAGACAGATGCACCTGATGTAGGTCTTGGTGCCGTTCTCTCTAAGGAAATTCAGGGTGAGGAGCACCCCATATTATATTTAAGCAGGAAGCTTAATCCCCAAGAAAAAACTATTCCATTGTTGAGGAGTGTTTGGCTATAAAGTGTGCAGTAGACACACTTAAATACTATCTCTTGGAGGGAATCTATATACCTCCCCAGATTTTGCAAGGTTCCTGCTTTGTGTAATTAGCCCAATGTTAAATGTGTTATGTTAAAATGAATATTGCACTTTAAATATGTGTATATTTGGGCCCTGGGGTGGAGCACTTGGAGAGCAGGTTGGGCCAGTGCGCCACTCCACATTTTGGAAGTTGCTTGGAACCTACAGGTGAGAAGTCCAGTTCCAGAGTTTCAATCCTAATCTACCTCACCTGAAAAGGATTGTTAATTACAGGTGCTATTAAGTACTCCCCTGCCAAAGGAGGAGAGAGATTGTGTTTGATTTCTGTGAGTGGAAGCAGAGAGCTGAAAACCCTGAAACAGTAAGGTTGTTGTTTATGTTGGGAATTGGATAAGCCATCCAACCCAGTTAGCTAATTATTTTGTTTAGTTAGTGCTCAGAAGGGCAAGGATTTTGTTTTATATATTTTGTTACAACCTTTTATACCTTACTGTGCATTTATTTTGGAACCACAATAAAAAGAGCAAGTCCTTTTACCTCATCCAGCGTGTGAAGTGTCTCTAAAGCCTGAAAAGACTGTGTGTAACACCCCAATCCCAGGACAAGGTACCAAGGGAAAGGAATACAGTATAGTGAGTACATCCCTCACATTTTTGTTAATATTTTATTATATCTATTCATTTGACAACCCTGAAGAAATTACACTCTGCTACAATGTAAAGTAGTAAGTTTGCAGCCTGTATAAAAGTGTACATTTGCTGTCCCCTCAAAATAGTTCAACACACAGCCATTAATGTCTGAACCGTTGGCAACAAAAGGGAGTACACCCCTAAGAAAATTTCCAAATTTGGCTCAATTAGCCATTTTCCCTCCCTGGTGTCATGTGACTCGTTAGTGTTACAAGGTCTCAGGTGTGAATGGGGAGCAGATGTGTTAAATTTGGTGTTATCACTCTCACACTCTCTTATACTGGTCACTGGAAGGTCAACATGACACCTCATGGCAAAGAACTCTCTGAGGATCTGAAAAAAAGAATTGTTGCTCTACATAAAGATGGCCTAGGCTATAAGAAGATTGCCAAGACCATGTAATTGAGCTGCAGCACGGTGGGCAAGAACATACAGCAGTTTCACAGGACAGGTTTCACTCAGAACACACCTCGCCATGGTCGACCAAAGAATTTGAGTGCATGTGTTCAGCGTCATATCCAGATATTGTCTTTGGGAAATAGGCGTATGAGTCCTGCCAGCATTGCTGCAGAGGTTGAAGGGGTGGGGGTCAGCCTGTCAGTGCTCAGACCATACGCCGCACACTGCATCAAATTGGTCTGCATGGCTGTCATCCCAGAAGGAAGCCTCTTCTAAAGATGATGCACAAGAAAGCCCACAAACAGTTTGCTGAAGACAAGCAGACTAAGGACATGGATTACTGGAATGATGTCCTGTGGTCCGATGAGACCAAGATAAACTTATTTGGTTCAGATGGAGTCAAGCGTGTGTGGTGGCAACCAGGTGAGGAGTACAACGACAAGTGTGTCTTGCCTACAGTCAAGCATGGTGGTGGGAGTGTCATGGTCTGGGCCTGCATGAGTGCTGCTGGCACTGGGGAGCTACAGTTCATTGAGGGAACCATGTATGCCAACATGTACTGTGATATACTGAAGCAGAGCATGATCCCCCTCCCTTCGGAGACTGGGCCGCAGGGCAGTATTCCAACATGGTAACGACCCCCAAACAACTGCCTTGTTAAAGAAGCTGACGGTAAAGGTGATGGACTGGTCAAGCATGTCTCCAGACCTAAACCCTATTGAGCATCTGTGGGGCATCCTCAAATGAAAGGTGGGGGAGCGCAAGGTCTCTAACATCCACCAGCTCCGTGATGTCGTCATGGAGGAGTGGCAACCTGTGAAGCTCTGGTGAACTCCATGCCCAGGAGGGTTAAGGCGGTGCTGTAAAATAATTGTGGCCACACTAAATATTGACACTTTGGGCCCAATTTGGACATTTCCACTTAAGGGTGTACTCACTTGTGTTGCCAATGGTTTAGACCAGGCTTCCCCAAACTCCGGCCCTCCAGATGTTGCTGAACTACAACTCCCATGATTCTATGAATGAAATGTGATAGGCTGAGAATCAATCTATTTCATCCATAGAATCATGGGAGTTGTAGTTCAGCGACATCTGGAGGGCCGTGGTTTGGGGAAGCCTGGTTTAAACATTAATGGCTGTGTGTTGAGTTATTTTGAGGGGACAGCAAATTTACACTGTTATACAGGCTGTACACTTTCTACTTTACATTGTAGCAGAGTGTAATTTCTTCAGTGTTGTCACATGAAACTATATAATAAAATATTTACAAAAATGTGAGGGATGTACTCACTTTTGTGAGGTACTGTGTGTGTATGTATATATATATATATATATATATATATATATCTATATCTGTCAAATCAGGTGCATTACGGAAACAAGTAGGGTTAAGTAAATCCACCCTGCCCATATCTAAAAGGAGGTTACAAAAACTGCAGATCTGGCAGTTTTGCAAGCAGGTTCTCTGGGCACAGAGCAGGCTTAAAGTGACTCTGTCACCTCAAATGTACCTTTCTCCTATTGTTCCCTCTTCTCTTCCTCTTTCCCAATCTGTTCTTGTCTTCATTCTCTTTAAAACATAAGACAAAGTAGGGTATTTTTACAATTGATAATTTTGACAATAGAGTGGAGCTTAAAGGACCACTATAGTGCCAGGAAAACATACTCTAGGTCCCCCACCCTCTGGGTCCCCCTCCCCCCGGGCTCTAGGGGGTGGAAGGGGTTAAACCTTACCTGGTTTTCCCCCGCCGGGCTCCCTCGGCGCGGGGAATCCTCGTCCTCCTTTTCACCGTCATCGGCTGAATGCGCATTCGCGGCAAGAGCCGTGCGTGCATTCAAGCAGTCCATAGGAAAGCATTCTCAATGCTTTCCTATGGATGCTGGCGTCTTCTCACTGTTAAAATCACAGTGAGAAATGCGAAAACGCCTCTAGCGGCTGTCAATGAGACAGCCACTAGAGGCTGGATTAACCTATTTGTAAACATAGCAGTTTCTCTGAAACTGCTATGTTTACAGCAGAAAGGGTTAATCCTAGATGGACCTGGCACCCAGACCACTTCATTAAGCTGAAGTAGTCTGGGTGCCTATAGTGGTCCTTTAATGCACGCTCCACTTCTATTGTCAAGCTAACTTTTTCACAATACTTACCTCTATCCTGTCCTTCCTCTGTTGCCTTGTGGGATTTTCGCTCACTGCAGTTATAAAGTGCTCCCCATTGCATACTGTAGGCAAGAGAAAACATTGACCTTACATAGTTGCCAGCTGATATCAGGCTCCACCCGCCACCTCCATTAAAAGTTAAAAATAAGATTTACGTAACTTACATCTCTTGTTGCGCTAGTCTCACCACTGCCACCGCTGCTTTGCACTGACTGAAGTCATCAGTGATGATAATCTCAACCAATCCACTGCTTCCACGTAGGGAAGCATTGTGGGTACATATTAAAATCAGTAGTAATGGGGCCTACTGGGCATTTGCGGTAATGTACGCTAACCAGTGTCTCCTCATTAGCTCAATGCATCTATATGGGGAGAGTTCAGCATCTTCATGCAGAACATGAAGATACCAAACATCAGCCCTGCAAAGATTGCAGGACACAACTGGACTTCTCATTGCAGAACTTCTTCTCAGAAAAGGCAGTGGTTAAATTGCTGAAACTACAGGGACAGTGTCTTTGCACCTGAACCATTTACATGAAGCTGTAGTGTTTCTTGCACTTCGATTCTTCCTTTAAGGTCAAAATAGCTGAGTTGGAAAATTCCCCAGGCATGGTTAGCTATTGTTTGTGCTATATATATTTGTTTAAGTCTCCCTAGTTTTAATTTTTATTTAATGTACATTTTTTATATCTACAGGCAAAGGATGTTAAGTAACTTAACCACTGCTATGTGACGTACGTGGATGGCATTTTGAAGGAATGACTGCAAATGAATTAGTACACCATTTTTCATAGATGTCCAAGCATGTATGAGCATACCGAGGTGTCATGGGTTATCATATGAACATGAATATGCAGTGGAGGTACACGTTATGTCTTCTACTTACTTTTATTTTTATTTTATTTTTTACTCCACTGCATTATTCAGCCCAGTAAAGGGCTCAGTAGTGTTTACTGGGATCAGGGAACAACGATCCACTGCTGGAGGTACTTGCTTTAAAAGTCTGTAGACTGTAGCTCCTACCACAGCCAAGTTTTGTTTGTTGTGACCAGTGTTTTGCGAGTTCCAGTAGTATATTCAGTGGTGAACCCCTTGGTGTGCTGCTACCTACTGCTGTTACCTACCTGAACAATTTGCCAAACAAAATGTGGAGACTGAACCAATAGCCTCCTTTCG